CTACCCCTCTCCCCAAAAACTTACATTATGAACAGCACTTATGATGATACTGGCACTACTAACCATGGAGAAGTATAGCAGTACTTCGGTGCAATATCATCAAGTCTAACTCTGAAATTAACTCCAAACTAACATCATAAGAATTGTATGGCAGACAGTACAGAGAATTACCCATGAGACTTTGGGACTGAAATGTTTAAAGAGGGATACAGTGAGCTTTCAGTTGGCTTGTTGGGTTAGTTGGTGGACTGAGAAGTGCACCGGTACCCCTGCTTACCTAAGAACTGTTCATTACTGCGAAAATCAATCTCGTCTTCTAAAAAGCATTGGCAAGATCATGCACGATTGTTTAATAACGAGATTGATGATTGGAAAAGAAAACATGCCAACAACCTCCACATTTAAAAAAATGATGACTAAGGTGTTTCTTTGGAGGTGTAATCAGAAACGTGCACGCGCTGCAGTAGAGAGAGATTCTGTCCGTACTTTCTACTTGTTGTTCCATGTTAAATGTTCTCTGACTCCACAACCACATCCGGTGTTGTCTCTACTACGTTTGGATTGAGATTTGCACTCACAATGCAAACAGGAATGAAGGAATGCCAAAAACTTAATCCTAATCATATTAATCAAAAATTAATATTGCGAGCAGTTAGTCAGGCTCTCCTACGCCAAATCAAGAGTTTTTAGGATGGGTGGCCATTAGTTTTTCAGACACATTTTGAAGAAAGCTTTAATTATCTCATAGGTTTAAAAAAGAGTTCATTCAAGGTTGAAATGAATGGAAGATCTTAACGAGTGAGTTTTTGGCTTCGCGTCAAAAATTACGTGTCAAAAATTAGTCTACATTGTGAAGATATCTTTGAGAGCTTTGCTTTGGCCTCAATGGATCGAGTTAGATCAAAATAACTCAGAGGTTTAGTCGTCGTAGTCTTAACGGACGATGACCTCCCTCATCTAATTTTAGTTGACGCTTAAATATCCCGGATAACGAAATAAGAACATAAACAATTAACTGCACATGCTTCCTATCTTACTTCCGAAATAAATTTGGATTTTCCAGCTTTCAACGGGCAACGCTTTCCAGCAATAACTTGTAATATTAAAAAATTGCAAAAATGCGAGTGGATCACGTGACCTCTGGGAGTGGTAATGCCTAAAAGCCCAAACAATTTTGAAAGTTTTTTAAAGTGCTCGAACGTTTTGTTTGAACTGATCATTTTGTTCAATGTTTCTTACAGAAAAACCGAGCCTTATAGCTGTCGTAGCATTTAAAAAACATCGTAAAATCCTTAATCGTTAGCAGTGTAACGGTAGCGAAATTGGCCACCAAACGCGCCGTGAGTAGTAAGGGACGTAATTTACGGAGGCAAAGATCCGAAACTTGAAGACGAGGAAAAGACCAAGAGGGTTTATTTCGTGTCAACGAGGAAAGATTCGATGGTACTCGTAAACTAAAAACAACGATTACAAAATACAATTAAGTACAAGGCTAGACTAAAATAGAGGCAAAGGTCACGAAGCAAACTACAATGTTGATATTTGGGGGCGGAACCGTAATTCGCATAATAACAGTTCCACATAAAAATAACAACCTTCCCCACATGAAAGAGCAACTAAACTGAAGCAAATATACATAAACAATAAGAACCAAATGTACTTAATAGCAATACGTGCGGTACTTAATCAGAAGGCAAAATAACTATGGCTTTGTAACGCTTGTAAGATACTATTTAATTTGTATATGCACGAGGGAAGAACAATAGTAATTTTCTTGACCTAGAATTGAGTCATGCAACATAGAAATCAATTAGAACTAAGTCTCAATAACAAAGAAAAAGAGACTTACCTATCTGACCCACACAATTCAAATACTTGGTTACAAAACTACAAACGGTAACTTGACTTAAACTGAAACTTGTCTTGCTTCTTTGGGAATTTACGCCGACTGAACATTCGCCGTGACAGCATGGACTGAAGCATGCGCAGTACCATGAGTCCCAGCGGCAAGGCGGGTGCGGATCGCAAAAACTAATGAACTTAAAGGCTAAAAATAGACAATCTTAACAAGCAGTAATTTTTTTGCATCTTTGATGCCATGCCATGATATGTACTTTTACAGCTTTTGAATTAGCTGACGGGAAAGTCCTTGACTATCACGTTGGCTCATTTCTCTGCTTCCACATCGCTCATTTCTCTTGACACTTCTGGACTGACTTGAGACTTTCTCCAGTTGATGAAAGTCAATGCAAAAGGAATAACAAACGCTAGCATAAGAACTCCGCCCGTCATATAAAACGAATTAATATAATTCCCGTATTTGTCTGCAATCAAACCTGTGGAAAAAACACAAATAGAAGGAAATCTAGCACGCAGTGTCCAGATATTGCATTTCAAAACGAAGTTCGAACATGGATAGGCCCCTTTCATAAATTAACCATGTGACAGGACTTGTCAGTTATGATCTGAGACAGAGAAGAAAGAGAAACAAGAGAAGCACAAGGCTGCAAGAAAATTAATACAACCACCCGTGTTGAGCCAACTGGCGACTGACCTGAGTGCAACATTTGACAGTAACCTTAATGTTTGATGGAAAAGATGCCAAATTTTGGACTTTGTAATCAAGCATAGAAACTGTTTGAAACGTAAAAATACTTCAAAATGTGACACTTAAGATGTGAGTGGCTCACAAACTGGCAAGCCGATCATTTTTTACACTTCTGTTGTAGGAAGAAGACTTGCATGCAAAAGGACTCCAAAGCGTTACAATGCTGTGCAAATGAATTATCGTGCCCCTTAACCTCACTTTAAGAAAAAAAGTTGTAGCTAATCACCACGTCTGTTTTCTCTGAGATCGAAGTCAAATCGATGGATAAAAAGTATCCGTATATCAAGGAGTCGTTGGTTCGGAGATAATGGGTGCCAGTTCACGTGATGAAAAGAGTAATTCTTCAGTATCTACTTACCAGCAATAGGTCCACCAGTAGCTGCTGAAAACGAATAAAGCAGACTAAGGATACAAAATGATGCCGTCGCTCTCTCTTTATCCACACAGCTAAGCAATATGTAATTTTGTGTTGTTATAAAAATTCCATCGCTTATTCCATAGGCACAGCTGAATACAACTAAGGCCCAGTATTTAGTTGCCAAAGGTAATAGGAGCACAGATACACCAGCGACAAACAGCGATGACTGATAAACAAATACTGAATTGATTTTTGGATTGTTGCAAAGTTGTCCTGTCAGAATCCGTGCCAGGGACGAGGTAAGACCAATGAAAATGAACAGTCGAGAGGCACTCTGCGCCGTGATACCAACATCTTCACAGTAGTTGACCTAGTTAAGTTTAATACATATGTTTATTATGGTGTTATGATATCACCATAGAACATACGGATAGAAAATTAAATGGTATAGATGTCATCATCATACAAACTATCAACGCAAACATCCACATTTTGAGGGGGCTGTTCAAGGGTATTGGTTGTTGTTTAATTTCGGGGACACCCTCTTACAATCCATTGCTCTTACTTGCCTGTCTCAAGCGTTAAGTTTGGACACAAGCCACAACATGATCACAGTGCTTGCATTCTTTCTGTGGCCTGCTCTCTTACCGCACCCCTTCTAGACTATTGAACGCAAGGAACCCGTTAGATAAATTTTTTACACCTGAAGGGTATCAAGATTCCATGCTATAATGATGGGGTGATCTGGGTTCAAAGATCCTAAGAGATTTCAAATTGGTTTCCTCAAAGGACTGTAAATATGACGTCTGTTATAGGTTTCTCTGATTTCCTCTTTGGTGTAGTTTGTTACTGAGTGGTCCAATTATGTTTTTTGATTTATCGTCTCAGACAGCTGGAATTCGTAATTGACCAATCTCACGATCTTTACCGGCCCGACGTTTTCAGGGTACACGGCTGCGGTTAATCGTTACTCAAATCATTGGGAAGACATCACATATGGTTCAGTCTTTCCTATTTAGGGACCTTCGAACATATCGAAGCATGTAACAAACATTCTATCCTTTTTTTCAGTGACGAAAGTATAAGTTATACTATAAGCAGCTGTATACTAACCAAATTGATGTAAGGAATGTACATCCCAAAACATCCTACCATCAAAGAAATGGCGACGAAAGTGTAAACAGGAAACTTCCACACACTGCAGTAAAAAGAGATTCTGCCCCTAATTCCTACTTGTTGCTTCATGTTCAATGCTTCTGATTCCGCCCCCGTCGCTATTGTTGTTTCTATTACGTTTGGATTAACATTCAAACTCAAAATAGAAACGAGAGCGAAGGCTGCCATCAATATTCTAAAGGTATTTCTCCATCCAAACACATCCAAAAGAACCTGAAGTAATGGGCCATTGTAAAGGACACCTACACTTGACCCCAATGCTGTTATACCAACAGCTAATGAGAATTTTTTGTTGAAATACTTTCTAACTGCCAGGTAGTTAGAGATGTAAATGAAACACGCTCCCAAACCGTACACTAGGCCATAAGTAAAGTACATCAGAGTGAGGCTATTGGTGACAGACGTCGCTGCCAAACCTGTCATGCACAGCATTCCTCCCAAGAACCACGTGATGCGATATCCAAAGTGATCACACATGTATCCAGCCGGCAAACTAGCAAACCATACCATGGCCAGGCCGATGGAACCAACCCAGGCTGTAAAAAAGACGATTTTAGAATTATTTCCTTTTAGTTTAGTTAGATAGATAGCAATTCATAACTGGCTGCCTATCTTTCAGAAAAAAAGTAAAGAACATCTACAGTGCGAATTTGTAACAAGTTAACCAGAATATTTAACATTTTAAATATTCTTAACTCCTTTTAAGAGAAGTTATTTAAAGACTCATTTAAACATTACACTCCTTTGGCACCACTGATTCAACCGTTCAAATCTCATTAAACTGCTTAATTGCGCATAGGACTCACGCATATTCTGTTTCTCCGTCAGCGGATAGCTGAGAACTGGTCAAATGTTCAATCGTCTGCTAAGAATCAACAGGTTTTTTTTTTCTGAAAGCGGGGATAAAAGATCAGCAAAATTTTCTGATGCTACAAAATGGGCTGAAATCAGAACAGCATCCTTAAGGTTTGCACATATATCGAGCATTTGAGAGAAGACATTTTACATTTCAGTATTCGTGACATGCCACGTATATACACCGGCCCCTATAGTTCAAAAAGTGACCATTCTGACAACGAAAACACAAGATTTATCAACTGTATGCTGGAATAATCAATACCGTTATTTCATTCATTTTAGAGAAAAGAAAAGGGAAAGACTCCAACTCTGATTCTCGCTCGGCTTCCAAGTAAACTCGAAAGCATTTGCTTACATAGTCATCAGCAGTATAAGTGGGCATGCTGGCCAACTGACCTTGAAATATTTTTCCGTTACAATCTCATAAATGAAGAACAACGTGAATAATGTTTCCAACTCAGTAAGCCAAAGTAAGAACTTTCGTGTGGGTCCAAAGCAAGGTCAGTAAACAAACTTAGTACGTCCACTGATGGAACTTAGACATGGCTATCACATCAGGAAGCTCATCGCCGTAGCTTAGCTCAAGTAACTTCGGACTTTAAAACTAAATTCTAAATATAAACAAATGGCTAAATCATACTTAATTAGCTAGTTAAAATTATGCTTAAAATAAGAATTATTGTTGTAAACGGTCCCCAAGTTATCGCTAGATACCAAATCAAAATAGATGTTCTTCTACTTCGTTATCAAAACCAGTGTTCCAATTGGTTAAGCATTATTTTGGATTGCCATATAAACATTTATCGTCTTCAGGGCATTTTTTTCTAATTCACTGCTTATATCCGAACCGAGCAGCGAATAGTTCACAGTTTCTTCACAAACTTTCACTCTTTAGTGAAATACAAAAACAGATTTATCACCAGCTTACCTATCCTCTCTCTTGAGGCATTAAAGTGCTTCATCAACTCCGGGAACAAAACTCCAAAGCTGAGAGCAAAGCCCAGATTGATTCCATTGCACACTGCCGCCGAAAAACACACTACCCATGACCACGAACTATCTTGGAACCTTCTGTCACTAAAGAAGTGCTTCAACTTTTTGAAAGCGCCGTCGCTGTCTTTGCTGTTAACCATTTTAGTTGGAGTTAACCCAAGTCGCCTTAAACTCCCAGACCTTGCTTTTAACTTTAGTCAGGTGAAAGAATGGCGTGACCTGCAAAAAAAATAGCCAAATCACGTTTTTCAAACCATCACTGCGCCCTGAGGAGCAAAGCTGTTGAACCAAATCGACTCACGCTTTTTAGAAGCTCGTGTAGGTGACAGCTTTAGGTTTATGGGCCACTGTTTACAAGTAGTTGTTTGTAATACTCAACTAAGGAGCTTTTCCGATCTCCTTTATGTTGTTTACCATGAGAAAATTCCTGTGTCAGGGTTGTAAAAGGAACAAAATACCGTGAATTTCGGAGAATTAAGACTAATCATATTCGTCAAAAATTCCCAGTCACCATAATCTCTCTTATGCCAAATGGGAGAGAACCGATTGTTTGCGAATCCAAGAATTTGCAGGCTTGGCGCCCATTAGTCTTTGGACAAAATTTTGAAAACTCCAAAGCTGACAGCAAAGTCGAGCTAATCCCATTACACACTGACGTTTTGTAACAGCCGACCTAGACCACAAGCCATCTTGAATCGAAACCATTTTCCAGTCGAGTAGTGCCTCAGCCTTTTACTTGAGCTTTTGTAAAACGCTGGAGTCTAAAAATGCAAGCCGTTATTTTTTCTCTTTTGATCGCCAAATTTGCATTGTTTTCATTCCTCTTGGGGCTTCGCCAGCACACTCGTTATCAAGACCTCGCATGTAAGATTTAGCTCTTATTAACCGAGCGGGAGGTCTGTATGGGAGAATCTTGACCAAGGTCGCTAGTACAAACCGAACGCAGTGAGGTCTGTACCAGCGACCGAGGTCGAGATTCTCCCATACAGACCGACCTAGCTCGGTTAATAAGATGTTTATTATATGGCTGTATCTTATATGCCAATTTTTTATATTGTTTGTACCTTTTTTTCTAGACCGGTCTAGATGGGAAAATCTAGACCGCTTTCAATATTGATTTCAGCCAATCAAATTCGTGAATTTGGTAGTTCCCAGTCCTTGTCAGACACAGCCATATAATAAAGCTATTTATTACACAACAAATCCCATGCAAGCTCGAGTTAACGTTTCCATAGTTTCTAGTTAAAACTGTTTTCACTTTCTTCTCTGTTGTGACTCGCCAGTGATGTTTAAATTAGAACTTACTGATCTGACTGATTAAAAATTGGTACGCACTGCGTAAGTGTGTCTAGTGCAAATTGAAATGAATATATTATTGGATCATCATCATCATCATCTTTATTTGTCCTATTTTAACAACACAAGTATTTACTTCAGCGATAGCAGCTAAAACGCGAGGAGACCCAAGAAGCCACTGGGCTTATGTGAGGGCCACCTCACTTACAATAACAAATCAAGTAAAGAAAAAGCGCTGCGAATGTACGGCTTGGCAATTTAGTGATTATTAAGTAAGGACTCTTCCATTTTCGTCTTAAAGCTAAGAAAGTTGGACGAACGAGTGGTTGCCGGATAGGGACAGAGTTCCAAATTTTAGGACCTTAGTAGAGAATTGTAAATTGCTTGAGATTTGTAGAACACAAATGCGTTCGATATAACATAAGCATGATGTGATTTTATCTCGAGGTCCGTCATAGTTAAGTATTTAGGTGTGCCTTTGCATGGAGCAAGGAGCGTTGTGTATTTATTTTTTTAGTATTTAGAAA